CTTTTGGTTAGCAGCCAAATGCCTTAACCACTGCACCACCTGAGCTCCTTATTTGTTGCATCAGGTAGGGTTAAATCTTTCTGATTCAAATGCAACAGTATGGAATCAACTGCCTTAAATAAATTGCTACCATCAATTTATATATGCAATTGGTCTAACGCACCTGAATCTTCTCATGGTGTACTGTTCTTTAATAGCTTCTTCTCTCTCAAAGATCAGAGGTATCCCTTTTTATGAAAAAGAAAAGAGGTAATATATAAACATGCAATCCACTTTAGTCACTGGGTACTCTTCAGTGCTCAGGATGTTGAGTGAATTCACAAGGGGAAAAAAATAGCCCTCCAAATGATGCTTCGTTGGTGGTGTAACCAATAGTCTAGTCCCTCAGTCCACTTCTGCAGCTATTCCATACAGATTCATTTCACTGGCCATAGGAAAGAGAATTTAGCAAATTCTGCTCACTGAGAAGAGAAAGGAGAAGCAAAGGGAAAATGGAACAACAGCCACACTAGAAGGTAGGTAATCTTGGCTTGTGGCTATGAACCCTGGATGTGAAGACTTTAAAGCTTGGAATTGATCTTTTGTCTTTTCGATGAGAATGTAAACTTAATTCTGGGTTTACATCGAAAACATTGTGCTTCTTTCCTGTCAACTGTGCTGCTAGTACTGAAACATATAAGCTTGCAAACAAAAGAGCTTTCCTTTGGATTTCCTATATTAAAGTGGTTAGGGTAACTGTATCTACACCTTCCATGCAACCTCCATATAAATGGGACTTTTCCTGCCGGTATCTTTCTGGAAACCTTGCAACTCTAGAAATTAGCTAGTTCTCAAGTAGATGCTCATGGTCTTCTTGCACCCATTTGAGACTGGTTGGTCTCTCTGATGTTGTTCCAATAAAGTATGTACAAATGTTGAATAAATTAATTTCTGCTGATCCTCATACCAAACCAGGACACATATAGTTATGCAGATGGAAGAAGCTCCACTGCAATCAATCTTGCAGCAGATTTAAGGATGCCTGTTATCTTTTTCAGGTTCCCTAGTCTCCACTTCATCACTCTCAACTTTGCCTCAAGACCCCAAGAGTGTATTGTTGTTGTTGTTATGTGCTGTCGAGTCGGACCAGACTCATAGCGACCCCTCCTTGTGTTTCCGAGGCAGTATCACTACCGAAGTAGATTGCCCAACCTTCCTTCTGAGGAGTGGCTGGTGGATTTGAACTGCCAGCCTTCTGGTTAGTAGTCAAGTGCCTTAGGCACTATGCTACCAGAGCTCCCAAAATCAGTGTAGAACATGCCATATAACCTATATTTTAAATTAGAACATTCCATATACTTTGCTCTGAACTAAGTAAAAATCTATCCTGTCATTTTTTGTTGCTAATAGATAGATGCTTTCTTTTATTTAAATGAGTGCCTTCAACTACATATTTTAGTTGTAGAATAGTATCATAAAACTGTGTACAGACGTTACTTCAGAATTAACAGACAATAAATGGTTAACTGCATATCCTATCTCAGCTGAGTTAATTAAAACATCAGCCAAAAAAAAAAGAACAATAAGATATAAATTTTGTTACTTTTCTATTCATTTTATTTCTTTGTTTAGGAGTTTGCTAAAAATAAAATTGACACATTATAAAATTCTATTTGAGACTTTCAAGATCTTTGTAAATATGAATACTTCTTGCCAATTGTAACTGGAACAAATGAGTGTATATATTTATATATATATAGTCAATATATAGTCAATTCTGACTCATAGAGACCCCCTTTGAGTTTCTGAGGCAGTAAATCTTTACGGAAGTAGATTGCTCAGTCTTTCTTCCGTAGAGTGGCTGGTGGGTTCGAACCACCAATCTTCTGGTTAACAGTCAAATGGCTTAGATACTATGCCACTGGAGATATATGTAGAAGTATTGAGTCGCTTAAGCATCATTAGTGAAAAACACAAGTATCAAAAGCCTCAGATATTTTACTTTCAATCTAATTCTTCAACAAATATTACTTTCTCCTGAAAGTAAGTGAATGAATTCTGCTCACATTTGAATACTCATTCATTACATGAAAATTTGCAAATTCTACCTTTTTTCTGTCTCTTTTTAATGATTCCAGTAAGATGCTTCTTTAATGACTCTACAACATGCCCTTCGTTTTTTATGTCTTGGACGAATGTGTGATGAAGCATGTTTGCAGAAGTGGGACGAAACAGGAAATTTTTTATCATGCACTTTTCCATGAAATTGTGGAACTTGCGGGACCTGAAAGAAATGAATCAAAGGGAATAAAAGAGCATTCTCAGGCCTGCAACATCTCTTCCCATCCCCACGCACATGCCATTCTGTAGGTCATAACTTCAGAGACGGCTGCTTCTAGCTATTTAATTATCTAATTGTCTTTTCAACTGTCAAATATTCTGCAGCTTTACAATATAGATTACATAGCAATGCCATTCAAATCTCAGAAAAAGAGGCGTGAGGCAATGGCATTGCCTATCCAAATTATGGTAGAAACTTCAATGAAATCAGCTGTGTGCATGTCCCTGATAAAAAGTGAAGGAAATATGACAATGAAATGATTAGCACAACACATGTAGACTATGAGACCACATCAGTCAGCCCACCACAGTCATCCTCTGAAGTCTGAACATTTCACTTGTAGTTCACATTTGAACTACAAAAGCATAAAGATCCAAAATGTGAGTGCTACTAGCACCAGTGCTAACTAATTTGATTAAAGGACTCATAGAAACAAATGTGGTCCATGGGGAGGGCTAAACTGAATCACAAAGAAGAATGTCAACAGTCAAGCCAGAGTCACCACTTCTACCAGGGCAAGCAGTAAATGCTAACAATAAAAAGAGTTTCAGGCACTAGATCAACAAGCTTGAGATCAGTGGCATCACTAAGGGAGTGTGGGGAGTGTGGACTGCCTCAGGCGATACTGTCAGAAGGGGTGACACCACAATGACTGTCTATAAAATTTTGTGCAGTGTTTCAGCAGAAATTTTTTTTTTTAATAAAAATATTCCTGTAGTTAGTTATAACAACAAAAAGAAATTTTGTAAGCCCAGCTTACACATATCAATACATATTCCTGCAAGGCTAAAACTCTATGATAATTTACTTTTTAAACTTTCTAACGTGCTCTGGTCAGAGCTGTTGTTATTGATGCTTTGAATCATGTGGCTTTGTCTGTTGTTCTCCTTGCTACTGTTGTTTTTATGGTCACTGATTTTGTCAAATTTGTTTTAGCTACAATGTGTGTAATTAGTATTTGTGAACCTATTCCAAGAATTTTCTTGAGAATGAAGTAGTAACCAAAGGAAAAGAAGAAGAAAATTAAAAACAGCTTCCACTCACTTAATAATGCTGTAAGGAAATGAAGAAAGATTTTGCAAAACAATTTTGCTGTTAGTATTCATATAATCAAATAAATCTTATATTTAAGCAATTTCCAACTATGTTTATCACATATTATTCTATGATTAAAATTGATAATAAGGAGCTCTGGTAGCATAGTGCCTAAGGCACTTACTTGACTGCTAACCAGAAGGCTGGCAGTTCAAACCCACCAGCCACTCCCAGGAAGGAAGGTTGGGCAATCTACTTCCATAGTGATACTGCCTCGGAAACCCAAGGAGGGGTCGCTATGAGTTGGATCTGACTCGACAGCACATAACAACAACAAGGATTCTGTATGGTCTGGTATGGGAAGAGATTCATGAGGTGGGGGTGACACCATGAATTACCACACTGAGTGACACCAACCCTAAAGACACCACTGCTTCACATAGAAGGGTTCCCAAGTTTAGCTGACTCTGCTTTAAGTCTGTAAATGTTTACTGTAATGGGCCGAACAACAGGTCAAAATCACTGACTGCCTATCTATGAACAATGAGCAACTTCATAAACTGTTGCTATTGGTGCATCCCATTACTGGAGAAACAAATGAATATGCTCATTAAGGGCAGGATAGCAATTCCGTCATAATATACTGTGAAATTACTGATTTTTAGTTGGCTAGTTAAAATTTACTTAACATGAATCATTTAGAACTCTGTTAATATACTTGGTTTTGAAAATACTGTCCAACAAAGATGGTGAAATAGGACTGACCAAGTGAATTAAAACTTCTTTGCTACATAACAACGTCAAGTCAATGTGTTTAGGAGATTAAGATATTCATCTTTACCATCCACTGGATTTGACTGTGGGAGCTGATTCTCGCAAAATAACGAAGAGGGCTTCCAAGGGCTGAAGGTTACACAGGGCTGCAAAGGGAAATAGGTGAGTTTAGAAAAAAAAAAAAAATGAAAAGGGTAACTATAGAGCGCACTCTTCATTTCAGATTGGATTCTCAGTGTTCTTCTACATAGCATGCTGAACAGGTATGAAGGAACGAATAAATACAAAAGAAATGTAGGTTAAAGGAAGAGCTCATTTTAACAAACAGTGCATTATGGAAGATTCTAAAGCTTCACCATACCCAAGTGTGTAAAATGCAATTGACAAATAAATAATAAATTAAACTAAACAAAATTTTTGAAATGTGCTACGGATGATTTATAAAGAAGTAAACCAGAAACGGAGACACATACTTCTATTTTTCTATTTCAGGTATCTACCATTGTACAGGGAGATCTGGTAGTATAGTGCCTAAGGCACTTGACTGCTAACCAGAAGGCTGGCGGTTCAAACCCACCAGCCATTCCTTGGAAGGAAGTGATAAGGTAGTGATACTGCCTCGGAAACCCAAGTAGGGGTCGCTATGAGTCGGGTCTGACTTGAAGGAACATAACAACAACAACAACAATTGTACAACTGGAATATGAAATTTATCAGCTGCAAAAGTCAACTAGATGAGTATGCACAATACTATGTAAAGGTGGATGGTTTCGTACTTTAAAAAGCTGAGAAAAATCTGTTTTGGATTCCGATAGTTCTAGAAAAAGAAAATTCTAGAAAAGTTCTAGAAAAACCTATTCCAGTCTGTGCTATAAATCAATTACCTCACTGGATGAGGAATTCTAGGTTTTTCTATAAGCTTTTAAATATGTGTCTAACAACCAAGAGCAGACCCTTTAGAGTAGGATTGTCCTTGTTGTTAGTTGCTGTCGAGTCAATTCCAACTCACGGCCACTCCATGTGTGCAGAGTAGAACTGCTCCTTAGGGTTTTTAAGGCTATGATCTTTTGGAAGCACATCACCAGGACTGTCTTCCGAAGTGTCTCTGGATGAGTTCAAACTAAGTTCAAATCCTATCTCTGTCTTTGTTTGTGACCTTGGGCAAATTATTTAACCTATGCATGCTTTGGTTTCTTCATCTGAAAACCAGGAAATATGCTAGGAATTCCTTCCTAGAGTTATTGTGAGGATTAAATGGCAACTTACATGGAAACGTGTCTGGCCTATGGTAGGCACTTAATAAATATTTGCTATTACTATTTTAACAAAGATTTTAATTATCTATCATTTCACGTCTTTGCCAAATTACTGGGATTTCATTCATTTTTTCATACACATAGGCAAGCTCAGAAAAACCTATTCCAGTCTGTGCTATAAATCAATTACCTCACTGGATGAGGAATTCTAGGTTTTTCTATAAGCTTTTAAATATGTGTCTAACATCACTTATTTCCTCTTGTATTTTTATTAAAGAAAACTGGCAGTGCAAAAAAATCCCCAATGGAAAGCCATATTGTAAATTTCATCTAATGTTACAAGTGTGTTGTTCATGTGAGGACAGTTTGACAAGATGGCTCTTTAGAGCCATCCTTCTTCTCCCAAAATACATCTCCAAGAAAATAATGACAAACTGGCCTCTCATAGTAGTCAAAAGAACTCCCTACGGTGATGTCATTATAATGATATAAAGGCAACTCTTCAAAGGTCAAGCTTTGTTCTCAATTACATAGGTAGAAATTAATAGAAAGTATAAGTTGATAACTGAGGTCAGAATTTGCTCTGAGTTTGAAAGATGAGGATCATATTTGATGCTTTTCATTCCTTTGCTATGTCCAATCAGTCACCATGTTCTGTTCTTCAAACACACTGTAAGGGAGTTGTACAATATTAAACAGTTTTCATCTGTTAATATATGTGGATCATTGAGTCAACTAGCAGCATCTTGAGGGGTCAAGGGAAAGGACAAACTTAGGTAAGTTTTAATTAAGGGAAGGGAGAAGTCCACAGAGGAATAAAACATAGGGTGGGTATAAGAGCTAAGACAACACCTACTGTGGATGGTTTCTAATATGGTCTAATTTATGAATGCCAGTAAATTTCCCCTCCCCCATACTTCCTAAAACGGCCTATATTTTCACCAGTAAAGCCTCATCCCTTTGAGATAACAAATCTCCTTTCAAAAAATGATCTCTTGAGGGGATGGAAATACATTAAACTGGACTTCATTGAATTAGTTTAAGTGATTTACTTCCAACATTATGTTAAGACCTGAAAGAATCTTCTGAATAATGAAGGAAAGGATCTCTTGATGGGACAGGAGCAAATCATGAGCCACTCTTGTAAAGACTGGTATGGGGTATGAGAGGGGACACTGCAAGGAACATAAGGAGGACTATAAACAAGCATGGCTGAAATGTTAGAAGTAATCTCTACAATAGCAAAGAGAATACTAAAGTAGGGAAAAGCATGGTCGAGATTAAAGTAAATTGACCCTTGTACCCTTGACAAGGTAAGGGAGTCAGAGTAAACTGTCGACCCTGTCCTACTTCTCCTACCCGACAACAATCTATTCAATAATAGATAGGCCTCAGGAGGAAGGTTGGGCAATCTACTTCCCTAGTGATACTGCCTCAGAAACCCAAGGAGGGGTCACTATGAGTCGGATCTGACTCAATGGCAGTGAGTTTGGGTTTTTTTTTTTAGAGGTGAATATTCATCTACTAGATACTAACCAGTCTATGACATTCTGTGTTCTGGCCTTGGTTTAAAGCCTCCATATTAGGTTTGAATCCCTACTCAGAGCTCAAGGACTAAAGGATTTTGAAAGGTCCTGGTATGCAAGGGTCCAGATCATCTCTCTTCTTAGTGCCTCCTCAGAATCCTTCATTAAAAAGAAGCTATTTTTCCTCTCTTTTTACTTCTCCGAAAGAGACTTACCAAAGAAATCCCAAAGGGAAGGGAATTTTATGTGGCATTCAGAGGCAATTATTAGATAACTCTCATTTTGGAAGGCCATTCTCTCTAAGATGATAATTGTTATAACCTGGAGGATATGTGCAAAATTATCCAAAGTTAATACTCTAGGCAATAAAAGAGGTTGGTTAAAAAAAAAAAAAAAAAGATATTTTAGAAGGGTGGCTATTTCAAGCAGCTTGTAGTCAAAACTGTGCCATTCCAATTGCTTATACAGGCAAGTGGGCCCTATTTTCTCTCCTGTGAGTTCAGAATCTCTGGTTCATCACCTATTTTTTGCAAGAAGCTTGCCAGATGAATACTCCATGCAAAATTCTTTCTCCGCTCATCACCCTTTTTTCCCTCCCATGACTTACTATTTTAGAATGAAAATGTAAAAACAAAACAAAAAGATAAACCAAGAACTGCAAACCTGCAAAGCATAGACAGCTGGCTGTTTGAAAAGACGACAGTGATGAACACTCAGAAACAATGGAAAAAATATACTACTTGATATAGTCATGCATCTTAATCAAGTCCATGCTTCAAACACAATGTAAATACTATATTGTCTAAAGTGAGAGAGCGAGATTTTAATAAAATCTAAGCATGTTTCCCAAACAGAACTAATTGGGAGATGGTAAGGAATAATAGGCATCTCCCCAGTTTCCATTTAATTTTACATATATTGCATATGTAACTTTTTACACAAAGTAACTTAAAAAAATTACTCATTCACCTTTGGCCTTTGGCACTTTAGTACCTTTTGGGACACTGGAATAGAGACATAAGCAACCTGATCTCCACATCTGTCCCAGCTTTATCCTAGTCCCTCCATGATATGCCAAAGCATACCAAGAATTCTCATCAATTATGTGAGCACTGTTTACACCCCTTGAAATTCCTCCCATTGGTCTTGAAACACAGTGATAAGAGAGTCCAAGCATATAGAGCTTGGTGGGTGGACATTGTGCAGATGGAACATTCAGGACCATAGGAACTAATGGGTCTGATTGGAGAGGAGAAAGCAAAGCAATTCCCCACAAACACACCCAGGAATCTCTCCCACTTTTCATCCAGCAATACCTTTATCATTCATACTTTGCATTTAGGTATTAAGGACAGCAACCATGCTATCCTGATTGGTCATACATTAGAGGGTTATCAATCATTTATACATAAATTCCCATCCGATTTTCACTTTCCTAACTAAGAGCAGTGCCTGGAGAGAACTGGATGCTGACAGGTCATCTGAAAAAGGGGAAAACAAGGAAGTGCTCACATCTTATGTGGCAACGTAATGGAGCATTCTGGGGGCATTAGGGTAGCTAAAAGGTGCAAAGAAGGAAGCAAAGGTGAGCTGGATCAACTCCAAGGGGAAAATGAAATGCTTCCTTCCCCAAATTGTTGAGGAGTGACCCAGTTTCAATGAGCCACTGGAGCTTTTTCTCCGCTATCACAGAGCATCTGAAGTTGGACCAGTGTGTAAATGTTCTGGAACCTAGATTTTCACCTGTCAGTATAGACTGCAATTCTTTGGATTCTGGTTTGTTAAGATTGTCCTGACCAAATAATACTGAAGGTGAACTGAAACAATTAGTCTGTCTAAGATAATATATCATAAGAGAGAAAAGTAGAAGCTGTTTTTATATACCCATATCATGACATTTGGAAATCACTGAGGAGGTGACCATTTACAGTTTGATACACAATGTGACATGTTTATGGCCAGTGCAAGTGAAAATTCATCTTCTTCCAGAGTGATAAATTTGTACAGTAGGGTTCCCTAACCTTTAATAAACATCAAACATTTTTACTCACGAGGAGCCCCTTCGGCCATTTCAATAGCTGTGATTCCTACAGACCACACATCACTCTGCAAAGAAAAAAATGACAAATAATGTCACCTAGAACTGGAAAACTGGTAACAATCTTTGATTGCAGGGGGTGTCAAGCCAGAGCCATTTTATAGTTTCTCTATAATGAAGCTTCATTACCGTTTGCTGCTCCAGGAAGACATTATCTGAGCTTGTGACAAGCCAATATCTCATGACACAACTGATTGATATGGAATAGGATTCAGCATAAGGAAAGCTCATCTTGGATGTCTCCCTATTGTTGCCTTAATTGAAATACCAAAAGGAACTTGCTATAGGAAGTCCTGTCACATAGACCTACTAGCTGTATGATCTTGGGCTAATGATTTAACTCTCTGTACCTCAATTTTCTCCAATGTAAAATGAAGATAATAATAGTATCCATCTCATAGGGCTGGAAAAGGAGCTCTAGTGGCATAGTTGTTGCTAACCAAAAGGTCAGTTGTTTGAACCCACCAGCTTCTCCATGAACTAGTCTGCTTCTGTAAAGATTTACAGCCTTAGAAACTCTATGGGACAGTTCTAATCTGTCCTATAGGGTTGCTAAGAGTCAGAATCAACTTGATGGCAGTGGGTTTAGTGGGCATAGGGCTGGTATGAGTATTAAGGGAAATACTATAATTAAAGCTCTTTCAACAGTTCCTAGCATATTGTAAACTGAGAACAGAATTATAATAAGGCAGTAGGAAATTATCCTCACTACTATTAACTCTATTTAATTTTCTAGAATATGGAAAAAGAGTGTAGGGAAAAGCTACATTGACTGGCTGTATGATCCTAAACAAGTTAATTGAATCCGTATAACCCCACTTTATAAATTGGTTAGCTTCAAAGGATTGCTGTGATGGTCTAAGCTTAAGTTTTCTTTCAGCTACACGGAGTGAAAATTAACTAATATGACTGAAAGTTCTTTGAGGCCTGCAAAAAATAATTACACAGCTATATAACATCAATGTCACAGCAAACCACTTGAAGGACATTATACTTTCATATTCTCCATGATTTCCTAATATAACACTGGACATATAATAGGCCCTCAGTAAATATTTATTTGGCTAATCAAGCAGAGAGCACTAAGACAATGAAGATAGACAAAACTAAAGTTGATCATCAATAAGCATTGAGTCCTAGGTTCCATACAGCAAGACCAAAATGAATTGCTTGGATGACTTACGATGTGGAGACTGGGTGAGGTTTCACAGTCTATAGCAATGGAGAGTTTTCTTTCCACATCAGCTTTTTGAAATATGTACATAGATGTATATTGTCCAGATTGCAGCTTCAGTGGAAATTTTAATAAATAGTATGAATTGCTACTTAATTTGTCTATTCCACTGATTTTCTGTGGTTTTGAAGGGGAACCATGCCAAGGACTTTCTCTGTTACCCTGAGTAATCAAATTATTTCTTTCATTCTGGAGCAAAGTTACTTTTGGGATTAATAATTGGCCTTACATTTATTCATTTTTAAGTTTATAGAGCCCTCTACCCCTGGAAGTTAAATTTCCATATAAAGCCACATCATATCATATAATATAATTTTATATATTGTTATTATTTACCAAGACATTGAAAGCAACATGAACTAGACATTCTCCCCCAAATCTGGATAACTTCCAATGGTCTACTTTGTCTCAGTTCTTAGAAAATATTATATTATGCATAGAATCAAACCTCATACAGGAATCAAGGCTAATATTTACTATTAAAGTTTAATGTGAAAAGAGGAGCTGCTTGCTTTTTATTCTTTTATCGTTAAAAAACAAACATCAGTCCAAAATCCTTTCCAAACTTTTAGTCTTATTATTTGAATCCTCACACTCACTCTGTAATCATAGGAGCGTCTTGGGTCCTCATCACAGTTAATCACCTCAGGTGCCATCCAGTATGGTGTCCCAATGAAGCTATTTCTCCTCCCGTTAGTTCTGCTCACCTGAGCACTCACTCCAAAATCCACTGCAAAATTCAGCATATGTCAAAATAATTAATCAGTAATGAAAAGCTTAATAAGTTATTGCTTTAACTTGGAAAGCCAATACAAAAACCACAATGGATAACAGATTTTCATTCCAGCCCAGCAAACTGTACCATGAAGTCTACTCCAGGAAAACTGGGAAATAGGCTTATGCTGCTATTTATGTTGGAAAGAGACTCAGCAGTGCTATTATAAATCAGTGGTAGGCTTGGCTGAATGTTTACCATGAATATTAAAAATAAAGTTCCACCAGTATACCCTGAACCTCTGAAGTGATAACATATGTAATGTTTGGACCTGCCACCAAGCTGGAGGGAAAACAGCACTATAAGCAACATCCAAAAAATTTAGATGTCTAGGAACCTTCACACATGACATTAGAAATCCTATCACATTGATGAAGAAAAGTGAGTTTTCTGCTAGAATTTGGTTTAAGTTCTTCCACAGATCCTCTGAATCAGATGCAAATATCAATATTTCAGTGGCTTTTCATTTACTTCTAGTTTTTCTCCTGTGTTGCAAATGGTAAGGTTGGCCTGCAACTTGACCCAAGTATGTGGAAATATTGTATATGAGAATATAGTGCTTAGCCTCGTAGTGGATTATCTATTCTTCAAATTTGAATGTGTAATTCATATGGCCTTCATGAAGTCTAACACAGTTTCTTAAGATCATGTTTCTAGTTTTGTAGCATTTAGACACAATAGAGATAATATATTTTCTTGAAATTACTTTTCACTTATTCCAAGAAAAATTGCTACCTAATGCTGCTTCTGCAAGTATTGAGTGAATGAACAAAATGTCTACTCTGGTTCTATTTGTTTAGCAGGAAAATGGGAAATATATTAATGTCATGTTGAGACATGTTAAGCAAGAACTGATACAATTTAAAAATTAAAAAAAAGACAGGAACTGATACCAATTATTTATGTTCTACATTATTGGGGTTATCTTACATTGCATAATACCATCATAATTCATATGGTATTATGTAAAAACCAACCAAAATATTAATTTTAAATATTATAGGATATAATATATTCTTCCTCATGCACTTGTGAAGACAATGAGTGTGGTTATTTTCAAATATATTGCACTTCTCTTTATCCTGGAATAAAAAGCCAAGGACTTCCTTGTCTTTTCATTTCTAATTCTGAATTTGATTTGGATATTATTAGAGCATCATTTCTGATTGAAAACATTTTTTTGACAGTATAGGACAGAGTAGAACTGCTCCACAGGGTTTCCAAAGTTGCAATCTTTACAGGAGCAGACTGCCAACATCTTTCTCCTACACATTTCTTTATGTATTTGAGAGAAAATCCCAGAGAAGGAAATAATGTTTGTGTAACTTACAAACTCTTTGATATTCTAGGGGAAATTTTGGCTCTGTGATAGAAGCATTCTTTTTTTTTAATCTCTTTGGCTTTTTTTTTTTTTTTAATTCCTGTTCATGCACAGAAACTTGCATAAACTAAGTACTCAATTCAATTGTTGAAATGAATATAATAGCTGTATCTACTAGAAAGCAAAGCAGTGACCAAAAAGTTGGGTGAAACTCCTGTTATAATTAGAAAGTTGTTTTATCTACATCATTTAAAAGAAGCAGTTAGTTACATCCTCTTCTATTTGCCCCACCTCCCTTTCCCAACAATAATTTTCAAGTATTAACTGGCACTGCAAGCAGACCCAGTCAATAAGTAGAGGATTCTGGCAGTGACTTGATAGAAACTACAGGTATCTTTTTTATTTTTATTTTTGCAGTGTTCTTTCCCCTCCCCTCCCATCCCTGGTAACCAACAAAGAAAATTTCCTTTCATATATAAACCTTTCCTTGACTTTTTACAATAATGAACTAATACAATATTTGTCCTTCTGAGAAAGCACAAGTATCTTAAAAGCATTTTCCTCATTAAGATATTTTGGGGCCCCATCTGAAGTATCGCAAGAATAAACTTACCTAGTTTGACTTCAGCATTATGAGTCAGTAGCACATTCTGACCTTTGATGTCCCGGTGAATTACTCGGTGTGCATGAAGGTGAGCCAAGCCCTGTATACACACACACACACACACACACATACATATATATACATATATATATATATAAAAGCCACATCAGCATATGCTTTTCCTCTTTCGTTGTTCTGGTCTTAGTACTTTGGAGTAACTTTTGTTAAAAGTTTAGATTTTATTTTACAGATAAAATTCTTACTTTATGCTGGAATTACTACAGCTAGTTCTAAGAAATACTACTTTTGGCTATACAGAAAGGAAAATAAATCAGAATGCCCTTGAAAGAAAAAGAACACCTCCCTTTCTAGCCTCCGTATTTCCAACTAACTGTAAGAGTAAAGAACTGGACATCTTAAATATCCTAGCTCGGCCATTGTGCTCTATTCCTCATCCAATCCTTTGTTCAGTCCAAAATATTTTCTAGGCAGACTTGTAGGCTGAGAAATTGGGAGAATATAGAAGTGCATTTTAAAGCATTTGTAATTTGTATTGGCTTTTACCACACTGGCTCCAGCCCAGTCACCACTAAAGCTAACTAGTGGCCTGGTATGTGATGTTAGACTATGGTGAGATCACTCCAGATACTGAGGATTAATAATTATTGTTGTGTGCTGTCAAGTTGATTCTGACTCATAGCAACCCTATAGGACAGAGTAGAACTGCCCCATAGGGTTTCCTAGGTTGAAATCTTTACAGGAACAGATAGCCAGGTCTCTTCTCCTGTGGAGTGTCTTGAACATACCATGCACTGACCTTTTAGTATCTGATCTCTGAATCATTGCACCACCAAGGCTCCTTGATTAATAATAGTTGTAACAATAAAAACAGCTAACACTTAATGAGTCATTATTTTTTTGCCAGACACTGTGGTGAACGCTCTAAGTGTTGTAAATTATTAAATCCTCACAGCAATGCTTTGCAGAAAGTGCTAATATCATCCCGTATTATAGATGAGGAAAATGAGACTTGGAGAAATTAAGTAACTGACTCAAGATATCACAACTAATACATGGTGAAACTAAAATTCAAACTCAGTCGAGAGTTGGCACTCTTATTAACCATTACCCTATTATCATAAGTGAATCCAACCAACATGGGAAGAAGGACATTCTAACATTGTGACTGGAGCTGTTAAGTTCTATTAATAACCTCCTTGGGTAACCCACTTCAACTGGAAAGAAAAACCCGAGTTTGGTAAGTCAAGTAGATTTTTGCACTTATCAAATTTGGTGTCAAAAATAAAGAAATAATAATAATAATAACAAGTGGGACAGTATTCATAGGAGGTTGTTTATCTTCAAAAAGATTGCAGAGGGTTTTGGGTTATTCTGTGAAACACTGATTTTTCCTGCCTCATCTTGATCTCTAATGAGAGTGTTATACACTCACTCCTCACTTATAGACATCGTTAGGTTCCAAAGGTCAGGTCATTATGCAAAAGTGAAGGATGACCACATTATCTCACAAAATGGAGGATAACTACATCATTCTATAATCACCAAATTATGTCATTACATGTCTTCCAAATTACATCACTACATAACTGCCAAACCATGGAATATCAGGGCCCACCCAAGTTAACACATAACCTTAACCATTACAGGAAGCATTACTCTTGTCTTGCCTTGCACCTCAGCATTCCTTACTGCCAGGTGTAAGTCATTAATGTTCAAAATAGTCAGATACTAGATTTTTTACTATTGCTGTAAATATGAAATGT